CTAAAAGACCCATACACCACCACATAGAAAAATCCCCACCGTCAACCTCATACACCAATACTCCCATAGAAAAACCATATCCCCCAACCCGAAATCCCTAACCCCAGAAAATGGAAATGGTCATCTTAAATAATTTATCTATAATAGGAATAAGGTTTGGGAATAAGGTAGGAAAAAAGAAGCAACCCCCTGTTCGGACGACATCAGCGACTACCACAACAACCACAACGAGCGCCTCTTCATCGGAAGGACTGGTTTCAAGGGTCTGGGATTTAGGTTTGCGGGTTTAGCCCCTTGAGTGCACAAGTGAATCAATCCGACAGCAGAGTGCGGCAAAGCAGCAACAACACAGTTTTTTGTCGCAACGTTTCGTGTCAAGGTCATGAAGCTCCGGAGTGCCTGCCAAGCAACCACGCCAAATCACAATTGAGACTTGGTGACCTCGCAAGACACGGCTTGCTAGTATGATGGTAGATAGGCTATGGTAGACACATTATACTACAGTATCCGGGCTTTCAGAAACCGGCAGTATGAAGCCACTCGGCGCCTGAATGGTCATTGACCGGCTGGCTGTTGCTCATGGAGTCGTTACGCGGATCATCGTTCACTGGTCAGGGATTTGAAGACGTTGTCGTGCGGGCAATGGAAAGAATGGGCTTCACAGTGCAGAGCAACAAGCTACTGGACAATTCGACCGGAGAAGTTGCAAATCAAGAGCTGGAGCAGCTTTGGGTGCAGTACATCCTTGCTAAGGAGTGGAACAAGGGGAATTTCGAGCCATGGTGGCAGCTGTACCAACGCGCTCCAATGGATTGGGAGCTGCAGCTGCCGCGCCCGTTTGTAACAGAAGTGGATGTGATGGCAGAGATCGCTTCTCCGCTACAATTACAAGATCGATACTGCGGCTTCTCCGTTAACGGAAGACAACTGTCAATGAGGCAGTTTATCGAGCAGATGCGGGGCAGAAGCTGGTTGATAGAGATTCCGGGCCCTTCCGGTGCGAGTGTGCGAAAACGCGACAAAGCAACTCAGTTACAGTGGCTGCAACATCTCTCTCATCGTCGCAAGTGTGGCGAGGGTGTTGCCTTGTTCTACAACGGTACTGATCCGTTAGCACCACCTCCTGTGACATACTTCCCGGGTTGTCACATGATTGTGGTGATGCACTTCCTGCCGTCCATTGTTCAGGACCTGCCTGAAAACATCCAGTGAGATCAGAAAGAGGCGGCGCAGGCCGCACTTCAGCAAAAA